ATAAATACACACATGAAGGTTCTCCGTCCTCAGGTCCCGGTGGATCTCAACTGGACTTGGTTGAGTTTCTCTTCTTCTTCAGTTCTCATTGATGGACTCCATCCAGGTCTTTCCCTTGTAGGGTCGTTACCTGAGGCTGGACCCACAATGCAGTTGGTTTCCCCCCCCTGTGAATCATGTGTCCTGAGGTGTGACTCTAGTGAAACCTCTTGGAGATGGAAGTCAGGACTGATGGCCTGAAACCTCCTCTGTTCAGAGATGGTTTGTCTAGTTTCTCCTTCACTCCTCTTTCAAAGCGTCTGTCCTCCCTGGACAACATGAGGACATAGTTTTCTTCAAATGGACGTCCCTCGTCCTTTAGGTGTAGGTGGACGGCTGAGTCCTCACCTGAGCAGCCTTTTTTTGAATCTAAACAAAAACATAAAAAATGTGTATATAGAAATATATATATATGTATTTTCCTACTTATCAGCGTACGATGTTTGTTATGCTCCAAAGTAAATTCCCTCTTAGTAAGAAACATGATTCTGTTCAGTTAATAAAAGACAAATGAAATACTTTTTATTTGAGGAAAATAAAGGCACAAGCATCAGGGTCAAAGCTCCACGTCGACACAGTGAGTGGATTTATACTCTAATTTTAGAATGATGATTATTTACACAGTTCCAAAATGAAGAAGGTTCAAACTCATCGTCAGGTTCCATGACGATGACTGAAAATCTGTTCTGTAGTTTTTCAGTAAACCTGGTGACAAACAAACAAACACAACCTCCTGGGGGGCACTGACTAAGGGTGAAGGTGCAGCCTACAGACTGTAGGTGGCAGTGCTGTGCTGTGGCTTCACTCTGGACATGTTTCCTCAGGATCAAATCTTAGAGCCACTGAGCAACCTGCATTTGTGTGTTACTAAATATTAATGTTGGTTTGTCACTAATGTTCTAAAGTTATTCAAGGTTATAGTTGTGTTTTTACACAGTTAAAGTATATTTTGTACTGTGTATTTGCTAGTATTTAATGAGAGTAGTAGTGCAGTTTACTGCACATGCGTAGTAATATATTATATTATTATATTATAAGCGTGTGAAGTCTGCAGAGCAGTGGTTCCACAACTTTCTGATTGTGACACCTTGAAACATGAAACGTGCAACAGGCAGCGTGACGACGGACATGTAACGGACATCTGGACTAAATGTATCACCAAGTCGGTAATGGACCGAGCGAAGGTGTGTTAGAACCCGTTTGCTGGAACTGTGCAAATAAACCTGTAAAGTTTTCCTCTGATTGAAGTGTGTTGTCACGTACACATCGGGTCTTCACAACACCAAAAGTATTTCTGTTGGACACAAGTCAAACGTAATAATCACTCCAACATTAAGTGGCCTATTGGAACGAGGTACAACGACAATATGGTATCATAATCAATTCACCAGCTAAGGAGACAGAAACACAAACAATATTTAGAGATGAAATTGACCGACAGTACTACTATTATCATACGTTTATAGATTTACTTTTCACTGCAAATAAAATGTATTTTTTCTTTTTTAAAGTTATTTTAAATTCACATGCACTGGCATCTCATGTCAGCGTCACTTAATATACTGTGTGAGCAGGTGACATGGCTGCAGAGGTAACACCCCCTCCACAGGGGGGCACTGCAGCAGCAGAAAGGTCCAGACTGTGGTTCATCAGACGTTTTGAAATGTAGCGTGACATTTACCGTGTAGCACAAAGCGTCCACATACATGTGTGTTCTATAAAGATGGCTAGTAATTGTTCCATGCCAATGCTAAGCTAACTACAGCTACAAGCTCTTATTCACATGTATTTTACAAAGTCCTCTCTCAAAGCGTCCCGGACTGTTTACACTCACATATAGCAAACCGGTTCACTGCTTTTAAAGGCACAGGAGCGAAACACGTGACACACGTTCTCACTGCTGCCTGTAGCCTCCCAGCTGAGGCATGTAGCTGGAGGCTGCCGCTGTCGGCAGCCAATCACCTGACTGCTCATCTGTTAGTGTCAGCTCAGAGTCCTCCTCCAGGGGGCAGAAGTCCTTAGGCTCTAGCGCCTCCTCCGCAGGCCGTCGCAGGAAGCGCTGGGACTGTCTGCTGCCGTCCTGCACCAATATGTCCGGGTTCTCCTCGCAATCCAGCAGGGGCTGCGTGGACTCGGAGCGGGAGAAGAAGGCCGACTGTGGCTGCGAGCTCGGGGTCTGACCCTTGTAACCGTTGGAGGCCACCACCGAGGAGTACTGCACGGTACTGGCCGTGGTGTCCGCCAAGTCTCCGCCCTCATCGCTGTCGGAAACGCTCTGGCGAGGCGAAGACATGCAGGAGGAGCCACCGATGCCACTGCTGTGCTCCTCGGACAGATACTTGTCCTTCTTCAGAGAGAGACTGGTTTTGTCTTCATCAAACACCATCTTTCCATCGCACATGTCCATGTCGAGGACACTGATGCCAGACAGACAGTTCTGCTTTGGCGTCTCTGCCTGAGGACGACAAGTCTTTTATTATCCACAGAAAACATGTGATGTTTTCATGCAGCTTTTAAATGTGATTTATTTTTCAATCCACTGACGAGAAGCTGCTGTAAAAGAATGAACAGGTTTCCTGTGTGTGACTGTGTATGAGTCTCTCTATAACTATACTATAACTGAGTATGTGTCCTAAATAAAAACTCTTAAATGTCATATAAATGTGTAAATGGTTTTATTTGGCAGTGATTGTGTTCATGCTGGTGACAACCACTCAGTGAATCTTATATTTTATATTAAATACTTATATTTTACAAACCAGACACAACATTTAATACACATTTAGTCCTTCATGTATTTTCCACTGGACCTTTTCAGGTTGATATTCTACGTCTACACATGACAGCGGCTAAAAGCCTAAACTCTGGAATAAATCTCAAAGTGTTTTAAATAATCAACATCATGTTTTCACCCTCGTGTGTCAGTGACCTTCTTACCTTTGACGGTTGATCAGGAGACCAGTTTCCAATCGTGCTCTCTCCAGGGTTTGGAATCTGAGGCCAGAAGTTCCTCTTGATGCTGAAACAGAGACGACACAAATATCAGCTCAGGATCTAAAGAATCCACTGCTTCAGTAACAAACACATGAGAATTTAAAATGCTTTCATTTGTCAGAGCAGTTTTTATCCAGTGGTGAATAGTTAGAACTACATGAATGGAACTTACATGTCTTTTTTGGAAATACAGAGCACCATCGTCATGACGATAACAAACAGAAAGCCAAGGCTCGCTCCGGCCATGATGAACTCAATCTCTCCCGTTGCTGAGAGGAAAACACATCAGAGTGACAACCTGCTGCTTCCTGCTCTCATCACAACACTGAGGCTGAGACGTTTTGGAAACGTTGGTGATTCGGTCTTCAGGTTTTAGAGTTTAGTTCACGCTGAACGGCCGAAACAAACACACCGGATGTACTGAACGGAACACTCACCGTATCTCAGAGTGGTGAACGAGTGATTGTTGCCTTTGGTTGAACCTGCGATGGTTGAGGCACTGATCCATGTGTTGTACCTGGTGTTTCCTGACAGTCCTGTCAAAGTGAATGAGGTGGTGTTTGACGGAACCGTCACCGCTGAGAACGAGCAAAACAGAAATTAGACAGAGAGACTGTAAGTTAGGAAACTACAATCATCACAAAATCCTGGATACACATGTGAAGCCTCCTCAGTGTGACGGACACTTACAGTGTAATTTATCCCCACTTTGGTAGAATATTGTGTAGTTTGTGATGAAGCCTCGTCGATGGTTTTGGGGAATCTCTTTCCACTGAAGCTCAGCCTCTGTATGTCCCGCTTTACTGGTCAGTTCCACATTGGGGCCAGACAGTGGAACTGTAATAAATGTTCATGTGCAAATATGAATTGTCTTCTTCTAATAACTGAATGAATCGTGACCCTGCTGCAATAAAATGAAATGAACTTCACAAACAGAAGAGAAACACGTGGGGACAGGTTTAATGTTTTCTCACCGCTTTGTTCCAGAAAGGCTTGGACAGTCGCTGCCTGCCCCGTCCCTCCAGAATATATCGGATACACAGACACGTTGTAGCAGACAAACTTCTCCAGGTTGCCTACACATAACATTGAGATCAAGAGTTCAATGAAAGGAGTCAAATCTAAACTCCACCTACATGATGGAGGTTGGACAAATGGCTGCAGCCAGTTTGAACTCGTATCACAAACCTTTAATAACAGTGTGTCTGGTGCTTCTGTTTTCTCTCTGCCAGTCTAACACATCTCCAGTGAGCCACTGCACCACGTACTCCTTCACAGTTCCAGTGTTCGGGGGGGTCCACTGCAGCCACATCTGGCCTCCTTGGACCCCCACCCTCAGCTGCTGCACTGGGCCAAGCTCTGCAACACATTCACACACAGATGGAAAAACTCCTCACTCATCTGTCTTTCATTCTAGTGTCTAAATGTTTATATGGGATAATACGTCAGTATCAGAATGTTTTTACTCACTAATATCAGTGAACTGCACGTAAAAAGATTACTTTAAATGTGAATCACGTGTCGGTGACATTTTGTGTACGTATCCCTTTAGAGTAGAACTCAGCGTCACCATGGAAACCTACCACGTCCTTTTTCAGGGATGACAATCAACGCTGGAGCAGATTCCCCCACTGAGTTGACGGCAGTGACGTACACGAGAGATTTCTTGTCGGACAGGTGCACCTTTTTGAGGGAAGTGATGCGCCTGTGGTTGGAGCGGCCGTCAGCCTCTGAGTGGTTGACGGGGATAATCCACTCCTGACTTCCAATCTTCATTTTGAATCTTGTTATCCTCCCGTTAGTTAACACAGGATCCTGAAAGGACATAGTGACAAACTGTTACCGACGTTACCTTTGAGCATCACGTCAATAACACGAGTACATTCTATCACCATAACAATGATTGCACTGTTTATCTTTATATGACTTTATTTAATGTCACTGCATCATCGCAGGTTTGCTTCACTTCATTAATACAGTTTATTCCCAAAACTCCAGAGGTCTGAACGTGTGACTTTACCTTACAGATGAACTGCAATAGTCGTTTACCAACATCATGACTGTCAACGAATTTCCATAAATCTGGTTTCCCTGTCGGTCCTAGGAAAAAGAAAAAGAGCACAAGACAACTGAAAAAACTCCAAGTAGATCTTAATCTAATACATATCTCCTCCTCGGAGTGAGTAACACTAAAAATGCCTCCGTTTTATTTGGTGCAGCCCTTGAACTCACGGTCCTCTGGCGTTCTCTTGGTAGCGTTGGTGCTCCATGTACTCCAGTAACCCTGGTCGTCTTTGAGGTTTTTGCAGCGAACCTGAGTGACATAAACAGAGTCTGGCAGCAGTTTCTGGAGTCTGAAGGACTGAATATCCATGGCAGTGTCCGAATGAGGCACCTGAAGGACATTATAAAAAAATACAATCTCTCGTCAATTTTCTCAACTAATAATCAGAAAAGAAAAACAGCAGATTCTGTATGTGTCTCTAACTAAAAAGAAAAAAGACACAAATAAAGACAAACACTGTAGAAGGTCACAAACATACTTACATACGTCCACTCATGAGATCCATTTTGGCAGAATCTGATTTCAAACTTTAATGTCACATAATGTTTATCAATAGGAGGACTCCAGGTTATTAAAAGAGAGGTGGGAAAACTCTTCTCAGAGATGATTTGGATGTTTGCAGGAGGATTTGTTTTCACTGCAACAAAAGATATGGAAAACATTCATTCCAATAAAATTCTGCAGTGTAAGAATTAAACAACAAAACATTCAACTGACCAAAATATTCGGCTTCTCTCTTGAGACGCTCAGACTCGACGGTTCCCAGTGTGTTCTTCGCCTCCACCCAGATCTCCAGCTCCATGTAGTTTGGGAAAATGGACATAGCCACAGAGGCACTGCTTTCTACAGTCGACACGTTGTGAGCGGAATGACTGTTGATAAAACACAAAAAAAGTTTTTATACCATTTGCATTTTTTGCTGCAGACAAACAACTGACATCTGGACGTGTACTCACTTGATGACTTTCAAAAACAGTGTGAACTTTGTAGGGCAGACTTTGGTTTGAGGTCCTGTGACCCAGCTGCACGTGATAACTGGAGAGAATAAGGATCCCTCCTGAAGAGTGATGCAGGAAAGATTCTCTGGCCTCCTCGGACGATCTGACATTAAAGAAAATCTTTATTTACAGTCTTTGTTTTAGTCCTCTTCTCCGCCACCACACCTCTTGACGTTATCGAATAAAGGTTAAATTGCATATATATATGAAAACTTACAGCCTTTCCTAAGCAAGATCCCGTGCATAAATTTGCCTTGATTCAGGACAACGTTGACCGACACCTTCTTGCAGAGGCAAAATAACCATTCAACTTCTTCACCGCTGACACGAATGGTGACGTTCAGAGCTGTTCTGTTGATCTTTGTGTACTGTTCTTTGGGTACAGTCGCCTGAGACACATTCCAATAGAGGTCGTCGGCTGTGACTTCAGCTGTGTCGATGATCATGCATGTAGCTGTGAAGTCGGACCCTATCTCCACTGCTTCGGGATGCGGCGCCGTCACTAAATAGTTGTCACTTCCTACAGAGCGAGAAAAAGAAGAAAAGTGCAGCAACTTAAGGTTCAGAATCAAACTCAACCACAAAGTTTTCACAGTCTCAGCATCTCACACGAAACTGCATGAACTTCAGCTGCAGGTTCGATGAACTGTGACGACACAAGTCAGGACACAAGGTTCTGTCCCCAGAACATCGAGGCCTGGATGAGCCAGAACTTCTTACTTCTAATTCAGACTGAGGTCGTTGTAACTGACCCTCAACATCTCAGAGAATCACTGTCTGCAGACACCTTCTCTACATTTAAAGTTAAAGTTAAAACTTTCCTCTTTGATAAAGTCTATGGTTCTGGATCAGGTCCTGAACCATCACTTAGTTATGCTGCTATAGGTCTAGACTGCTGGGAGAACTCCCATCATGCACTTAGGGAGAACTCCCATCATGCACTGAGCACCTCTCCACTTCTCTCTGCCCCCCCACACTCATTTATTTATTTTAATACATGTCAATGACTATTTCACTTTGTCCTCCTATAGTCTCTCTCTCTCTTTCTCTCTCTCTCCAGAACCTCAGAACAACAACTTCTCCTGTTGTTAAAAACAATATCTCAGTGATTCATTCTATCAAATGTGTCTGTTACCAATAATAATTTAAAGTCTTTACACAGTTGTTTACATTTTAACTCGTCACCCTCCCTCACTATCTCTCTCTTCTCTCCTCCCCCTCTCTCTCTCCCCCCCCTCTCCTCCCCATGTCTCTCTCCTCTCCATGTCTCTCTCCTCTCCCCCCCTCTCTCCTCCCCATGTCTCTCTCCTCTCCCCCCCTCTCTCCTCCCCATGTCTCTCTCCTCCCCATGTCTCTCTCCTCTCCTCCCCATGTCTCTCTCCTCTCCCCCCCTGGACAGAGGGCCTTTGTTGGGTGCAGGGGCCAGCT